ATATAAGAAGGACCCCTGAAAAGAAGAAATAGTGTCCAAAAGAGTTACCAAAGCCCAAGTATTATCTAGGGAATCCTAGTCCTGGTGTGGCACTGTGGGCTAATGCTCTGGACTACAAAGTCGGTTTGATTGGCAAGGTTGGTGGTTCAAGCTCACTAGCCACTCCTTGGAAACCCTATACAGGATCACTATAGGCCTGAACGGACTTGATGGCACTGAACATCAACAACAACAAGGGTTCCAGGGAACAAAAAACTTGAAATGCTGAAATCAAATATGACAAAAAAAGGAAGGAGCAGCACCTTGTATAGATCGTGTTAAGTGCCTCAAGTCAGTGTCAACTCTTCTGGATGGTATTGTTTTAATGTACAGCAAAAGTTTTGCATATACATGTCTTACGAATTTGAAAAAGTATTTCACACTTAGATAATAAATGACCTGATGTGGGTTTTGCTATAGAAACAAAAACTTCTAGTTATTTCCCCAGTGCAATATTCACCTTTAACAAGAGAACCAACAGCAAAGAAAATATCATATGCTAACATTGTAAGGAATCATAAATTTGGGTTAGACAAAGGGTTAAGGACTTGAATAAGAGGGTTGCTTAACGGGATCAGAAGGATCTGAAGTCTTTTTCTGAATGCCTCTAGGTGTAAACTGGGCTATCAGCTGCATATCTTGTCTGCTAACAAGGGAACAGGTAAGGTTTCCTGAGATCCTGTCAAGTCCTGTGATGGTGATGCCACAAATCTTTGGAAATGAAAGCCTAATTAAGAGGCTCCCTAGGGACAGGTCAAAAGGGTTCTTTTATCTCTACTGCCCTTATCCCAGTTTCTTGATGTGTTATTCCTCCCCTTTAAATCAGCCTACTCTAAAATGAAAGAATACACATTGTACAAGTTTCTGTCTTTGCTTGCTCTACTATAAATGTATTAGACTATTAGAATTAATAATTTAAATCTCTCATCCCTTATCTTTAAACTGATTATGCTTTATAAAATATGATTTTTAATAGCCTTCTAAAACATGTTTTTTTCAACTGGATTAGATATTTTTTAATTTGATTTTTTTTGTGTTGCTCGTTGATTCTGACTTATAGTGGCCCTATATAGTAGGGATTTTTGTTGTTGTTAAGTGCCGTCGAGTCGATTCTGACCCATAGCAACCTGTATAGGGTTTCCAAGGAGCAGCTGGTGAGCTTGAACCACTGATGTTGCAGTACAAACGACTCTGCAGTCTGACACATTAGCCCACAGCGCCACACCAGGACTCCTGCATAGTAGGGGTTGTTGTTGTTGTCGTTAGGTGCCATCAAGTTGGTACCAACTCACAGTGACCTTATGCACAACAGAACAAAACACTGCCCAATTCTGGGCCAGCCTCACTACTGTCGCCATGCGTGAGTCCATCGATGCTGCCACTTGGCCAATCCATCTTGTTGGGGGTCTTCCTCTTTTTCTCTGACCCTCCACCTTACCAAACATGATACCCTTCTCCAGTGACTGGCCTGTGCTGACAATATGTCCGAAGTATGAGAGACGAAGTTTGGCCAACTTGGCCTCCAAGGAGCACTCTGGCTGCACTTCTTACAAAATGGATCTATTGGTTCTTTTGGAAGCTGATGGCACTTTCAATATTCTCCTTCAATACCATAACTCAAA